TACATGGAGGGGATTATAATCATTGTAATGAAACAAGGTGTATGATTTGTTGAATGTAAAACTGATGATCTGCCCTGTAAACTTTCACTCAATCCACAATTAAAAAAAAAAGGTGCTTATAAAATGACTAAGTCTAGTTTTAACCTTGGCTCTTTCCTCACGGAATAAAGATTTAGCAGTAGTCTTGGTAGCTGTGTTACTTCATTTTATCTTATGAAGAGTAAGCTTGAGTTTTATCTAAAAGAAAAAAATGATCTTTTTAGTTTTATAAAAAAAATAATTTCTTTAGAATATGTTAATAGTAAGATAATTATAATTTTCTTATAGACAGCGAGCCAAAGATCTTGAAGAAGAATTGGAGCGAACCGTACTATCTTATCAACGTCAGGTATATATGTGTGTGATTTAAAACAATTTTGATTTTTTAATATTTCTATTTTGCTACAGCAATATAGGTACTTGACTAATTGTACATCTCTCTTGAGATGTTGCCTTTGACTTTGTAATATTTCCAGGGAGCCCAAGATTCTAGGATAAGAGACCTTGGTCAAAGTTGCCCTGTCTCCTGTTGTTTTGGGAGCATCACATAATTAAACATATGTCTTATATTCAGTCAGGCTTGACTAATTGCCATAATTGGTAACTCGTGTTATAGTTGATTATTACATAAAGTGAAAATTTGCTAGAAAAAAATTTCAATTGTCTTCATATTTAGTTTAGTTTTTAAAATATAATGGGGTTAATTGAATACAGGAAAACTTGCTGTTAAAATGTTGCTTACTGAATTTTTCAGAGCTGCTTGGGCTAATTGTAGATGTGCCCAATTTTAAAATTAAGAAAAATAGTTTTCAGTAATATTTTAATGACTTTCTTTTTCAGGTTATGTCTCATGAGAGAAAAGCAAATGATAATTGGGTAAGTTTAAATTATTTTAGGCTCCTTTATCAAATTATACTTTTTCCTTTCAGAAAAATACTGCTCATTTGAATTAGGTGAAAAAAGGTAGCATTTTTAAAACATCCATTTCTAATTAGTAAATAATGTAGTAAATGATGTTTCTTACCAAGTATACTTTGATATAACACAATCACTTAGAAAATCTGATGTTTTCCCTTCTTTACTTTTTGCATATTGTTTCTTTGTAAGGAGTTTATTTTTATTCTTTGTGAGAAGTTTATACTCTTTTTGGGGGAGGTGATGTGATTATATTCATAGATTTACTGTTTCAGGGCACATATCACTTTTTGGTTAGTTAAAGTAATTTCTTATGTATAGTTCACAATGTTAAGTGAACACAAATATTTGCTTTTGCTTTTAGAAAGTTATGGTTGTGGGCTCAGTTGTGTCTTTGTATAGTAGATCTGTTTGCCCTAGTGGGTTGCATATGTTTGGCAGGTCTGATGTACCTACCACACAATGCTTCTGATAATCTGGAGAATCCATAGGTTGACTGGGAAACATTTCAGTATTCCTTATAAGTTTAACCTTTGCTCATAACTACCTGGGAATATTACATGTTCTTGGTATTTATTACAAATTTAAGCTTTATTTTTCTATAACCTATATAATGAGAATAACCTTTAATTTTATTGAAGTGTGAGGCTTTCTGCTCCCACAAAAATTTACAACCTCTGAAATCCTGTACTGGGTTGCTATGAGTAGGAACAGACTTTGCGGCACTTAACAACAACAAATATAGAAGAGTATAAATGTAGAAGATTTATTGAAATATGATCTATATAGTGTTATGTACTTAATCAGTATATAATATGCTTTGATCATATTATATATATTATAAAAAGATGACCAGTGTCTTCATGTACCCTTTATAAATTTACAGAATATTAATGAGTTCTTTCAAGAGGTGGTTATATTGTTCCATAGCATTGCTGCCCTCCATAATGATCCTGAGTCTCCCATTTTTATCACCCCAAACTTTGGTCCTTTTCAAATATCTCTTGTTAAATTATATGGATATTTAAAGTATCTAATAATGCAAGACTTGGATTTCACATCTAAATAACAGCATTTATTGTCAAGCACACGATTAAACTCTAACCTGACGGTTACATGAAACCCATTATCTTTCAAAGTTGTTTCCTAAATTTAATTTTCTACATTGAGCTTACGGAAAGGAAGGAATACTTAAGTGATTATGATATCTATTATACCATTGTTACAATAGTTATTTGTGTTTATATATTTTATTTTGTTTGTAGCAATGTAATTTTTATAAAATTAAAAATTTTGTTTTGAAGTTGGTAGCTCAGAATGCAGAAAGAAAACTCAACAGTTTAAAGAAAGATAATGCTCACAACAGACAAAAGTAAGTATTTTAGAGGGAACACTTTAAAAAACTCATTTTTATATTTACTCTTAGCAGTTTTGTTATCACAATAAGAAAAGTTGAAGTGAGTCCAGCATATCTAGTTGTGAAATAACTATTCATTTTATACTGGTGGTAGTGGTGGTGTGCCATGGAGTCAGTTCCGACTCATAGCGACCCTGCATAGGGTTTCCAAGGCTGTAAATCTTTATGGGAGCAGAAAGCCTCATCATTTTCTCCCACGAATGTCTGGTAGTTTCAAATTGCTGACCTTGAAGTTTACAGCCCAATTCCTAACCACTGTGCCACTAAGAGTGAGTATTTCTTGTTTGTTTAGAAAATACTATAAAAGCAAAGAATAAATGTTTTCCTTTTAGAATTTTTAAAAAATGTTTTATTGTGAGTTATGTGATAGTTTACATGGAAGAACATTAGCTTCCTATCGTATATTCATATCTTATCATATATCGTTTCATTGCCATGCTTACAATCCCCTCCATGCATCATCAAACAACCAAATGGTATATTCTGCGATACTGCCCCTCAGTCGTCAGCACACAGCCCCTCTCCCTCTCTAGATCTAGAGTCCCCAGCTGCATCATCTCTCCATGTCATCATCTCTACATCCATCTCTGCCGTCACTGTTTTTCTGGGTAGGGTCTCGCACTCTGCTCTTCTTCCTTGATGGTTCCAAGGACTTCTGCTCCTGGACTGCAAAGTTAACCACTCTCTTCCTTTTGCTTCCAAATGTCTACCTTTACATTTCCAACCCTCACAGTCTGTCCTGATAGCAATTATTCACTATTGTACCACAAGGGTCCTGTCCTCATCTCCTTCATCAGCCCCGCACAGACAGATTGGATACTACTCAGTGGAGATTCTACCTTCCTTGGCGCCCTCTGGAACTAGGTTCCCTCTTGAAAGCTTGTAAGCCAGTCACTTCTTGTCTTTGTAGCACCCCCACCCCCACCCCCACCCCATTTTGGGTAGCCAATGTCCAAGTTGCCCATCCCTGCCTACCCTGTGTATCGAGGGGATGGGGATGATCCTTGCTGTAAAGATTTGTTCCCTCTTTTGAGTTACTTCATCCACAGGTGTAGGTCAAGTTCATCAAATTGTATCAGATTACTCCTTTTTTCCTCTTCTTTCTTCGTCTAGCTGAGTTCTGATCATCCAGCCATTGAAGCCAAGTCAAGTGGGTATTATCTACAAGTGTGGGTGTTCTTGTACATATGCCCTCACTTCTTATCCGCTGTGCACTTCACTCTCCACTCTAGTCCTCTGTGGGTATGTCACTGACTCTGGGCCCAGGAATCCCCAGGTCTTGCCATACTGCTGGCCAACTAGGTCTCCACCTGGGTTCACAGGAGTCTATTGAACATGGTAGGACTTAGCTCACAGCTTCATTGCTGTTTTTCCCTCAATTCCCCTTATTGGTGACTGACTGAATGTCTACTCATATATTCCCCATGAGTCTTAGTTTTGGAAGGGGGGGTTTGCCCTGAGGGGACCCAACCACTTGCCTTGATGTCTCCTGGGCGAGCAACTTGCTTGTTCTTGTAAGTCGGACTGCTTATATTGTTTTGTATTTTTCCTGTCCATCTTTCTTTCAAGAAGTATCTTCTGTTCTTCTAGCTGCTCCAGGCTGTTCTGCTTGGCCTTTCAAGTGGAGATTTCCCACCTCAGAAGATTCTGGATGGGGTTCTTTGAGGATTTTAACCAGAGTGTAATAAATTTCATGCCAGACTATACTGTTAACATTAGTCACTATTATTGCTAGTCTTCTTGCTTGCCTTGTCTACTCTCAGAAATAAAAATGAAGTGATTTAATGTTGTATTTCACATTTGATGGTCAAGAACTATAAATGATTCTATTAAAATAACACATTTTTGAGATAACGTTTAAAATAAAATGGTAGGAGGAGTTAATCTGAGTTACAATTTTATACTGTGATAGGATTTATATGGGTCACATGACAGTGGAAAGCATACATGACTCAGAATAAGAACCCCTGTTAGTTCTGTCCTTTAGATCATTTAAATTCTTCTGTTCAGTGCCCATGGTTGTAAAATGAGGTACTTGGAGGTAGGTCCCTTCATTTCTAAAATTTGGATTCTATAATATAATGCTCATTGCCTTCTAATTTTGAAAAAAGAAAATAATTTCAACTAAACAACACTGTAACTAGGCCCATAAGAGACTTGTTACCCCAAAATAAACTGTAGCAGCTAAAGAAAGATATTTTGATCAGAATGATTTTAGAGGATCTTTTTCTTCTATGCAGTTAATGAGATAGTGAAGTATAACTTGTACTTAGTAGTGGCATAGGTTTTGAAATATGGGTGCATTTCTTGGATGAGTAGCTTTGAGATATTTGTTCTTTATTTACAGATTAACAGAAGCAGAGTTTAAATATGAACTTTTGGGAAAAGATCCTTATGTACTTGATGCTCCAAATACGTTTGGCAGAGGTAATCTTTTTTTTAAGTCCTTCCTTTAAAATATGTACATATATATGTGTATATGTGTGTGCATATTACATACAGTTTACATTAGTGTAAATTACTATTATTATTTATAAATAGTTTGGGGGCCATGGTTCTACTCTGAGCACTCCCACAAACTTCCAAGTTTCTGGGTTTATTTCCAAAGCAATAATGGTAATAGTCACTGCTTTACTTTTTGAGGGGGATTTGGTAAGTTGGTGCATATTAACTACAGTGAGCACCTTTAAAAACAGTGTGCCTTACATATAGTTGGTACTCTGTAACTATTTGTTCAAAGACTGAGTAGGAGGTCATTTAAATAGAATAGCATTGTGACCATTTATTTATTACTTACCTATCCTTTGTAATTTTTTTGAATTATAATGGAAAAATGAGAATTACAAGAGTCAGTTTAAAGTATTCATAAAAAGGTGGGAAAACATTACTAATTGAGTTTTATTGCTTTTAATTGCCCCAATAGGGAGCCATGTCTGTGAATTGCTGTCCTTCATTACTCAGTAGCATCTTTAATTTTGGAGTTATTGACCAAATAATTAAAAATTTTCAAAATATTTTCAGTTGAATTAGAATTAAGCTTAATAGGCAGTAAAAAAGAAACCCATCTTTTGTATAGAGTCCCATTTTCATAATCTTTGAAAACTTAAGTCACTTTGTGAGAGTTAAATTTTTACATTTAAAAAAATGTTTCTACATTTAAAAAGTATCAGATTACTAGGAATTCAAATTTAACACAATTTGGAGTGGTGGATATTACACCAAAGGGGAGTTTTACTTGAACCCAAGGCAGTAGTCTCAAAGAAGGTAATAATGCTTTCATATTTTATTGTACTTGTAGTTAGATGTTATATAAGCTATACTCAATGAAATTTAACATGTATAAAAGTGTTATTTTGGTGGTAGTTAAAGATTTTGTGTGTGTGGTTATTTTTTTGATCTTTAGCAAATAAATGGTGATAGTGATGTTTATAAAATGTAGAGCTCTTGGTTATATGAATTAAAAGATGTATTTGATGAATTAGTATATGTAATCTAATTTTTCATTGGTAATGAATCAAAAGTAATTTGTAATGCTTCAAAGTGTTCTATGCATTGTTCTGCTTCTTAGAATGAGAGCTTTACTCTAGTAGTCCATGGCCCAATGCAGTCTATCTAGCCCTGAGCCCTTCCATGTTACAGCCCTCACCAGTTGAAATTATCTGGAAGCATTCTGCCATAAAACACAAGGCAAAACAAACCTCATTCCCCCAAATCTTATAACTCCAAAATATTACCAGTGTACTGATGTTTAATTTTGTATGGTTATTTGAGTCATTAATTACCAAGAGGATCTGTTTTATTTACTATGATGTTCATTAGGTAGATAAACTTTAAAAACATAGGGTTTTATATTTAATTCTAGCCCATATTAGCAAATGCAAGGCATAGTTAGTGTTCTCGCATAAATTTTAAAACTTAAATTGGCAATAGGATGACCTGATGGGAATTGTTGAAATGAGATTCTAACTCTACAGTATAGCAAACTGAAACTATGAACTTAAATATGCTGTTTTAATTATTCCAGAGCATTCCCCATATGGTCCCTCACCATTGGGTCGGCCTTCATCTGAAACGAGAGATTTTCTCTCCCCTCCAACTTTGTTGGAGGGTCCTCTCAGACTTTCACCTTTGATTCCAGGGGGAGGAGGAAGAGGTATATTGTTTAAACATCTTTATTACTCTACATTTCTTCCTTTCTTCATATTTCATCTCAACTTATTTTTTAAATGATCTGTAAAAGAAATCTTTGGAAAATACAGGCATTCCTTGTACTTATTACTGGTTATATTTTTTAAAAAGGAGCTCTGTGACATCTAATTTTAATATACTTTTCTAAATTCTGCTATAATAATTACATTTTGATCAAGTTTAATACATATCTTTTTAAACCATGTTTTTGACTTTAAAAAGCTATTATGTAAACTTTATAAAGTACATATAAAACTTAACACTATCACCTAGCATCAAATTATATTATGATAAAACATTATTATAAGGTAGACTTTTAAATCTTTGCTTCATTACCATGATCTCTTTATTGTAGAAAATCAGAAAGTAAATTAAAGTCATGACATTCAGTGAGGCTTTTGTGGGCAGAGTTTTGATAGGCCCTTTTTAAGGAGACTAAATTTTGCTGGTATTTTGAAACATTGATTCAAGGTTACCTACTTTTTACACCCATATATGTTTTTGAGAATTTCTATAGCTACTGTAGACCTGGTGTTTTTCCGATGTCTTTGAAAACTTCTGTGCTCTGTAGTTTTCCCCTTTGGTGCTCTTATCATACTTTACTTTGTCATGTAACTTTAAAGTTTTCCCTTGAATAGTGATAAAATTAAAAGTTCACAGAGCCATACTTACTCCAAAATCTTCAAAATCCAAGTCTTTGTTTTTCAATTCCAAGTTTGTGTTTTATAACAGTTAATCATTCTTCACTAGTAAAGTGGCCCCATCCTCCTTTTTTATCAATGATTTTAACAGATTAAATCTGAAGACTATAGATAGGAATATAAAGTGATGAGACTAAATAAAATCACCAAACTAAACCCAATATACCAAAGCTTGTACGCGCATATAGATATTACTTACCAAAATAGTCTCTCAGGGAACTCTATGTATTTCCCTATTCAACCTGCCATTTTTCTAAATAAACATTTTTGAAACTCTCTGGAATTGTTTTCAAAGAATGTAAGAGAATCAGTGTCCTATTTTTTGGTGTTAGAATAGTCTCCCTTTGTCCATTGCTATTTGTAAACCTCTTTCCCCAGGTCTGCTTCCCAGTCTCCCTGCATATTGGACCAACAGCCTGATGACATTTCAGAGAGGATTTTTGCTTGTATTTGCATTGAACCCAGAGCTCATAGGAAAAGGGATTGATACTTGAATACCTAGGAGAGCTTTGCACTGAGCACGTTAGGAAGCAGACTAATTTTGCAGTTCCCAGGTCTGCTGTAAGTTCCTGAAGTCCATTTTTTTTTCCTACACATTTTTCACCTTGAATTATATTGTGCTGTGGATTAATGCACTGGACTGCAAAGTTGTTTGAACCACAAAGTTGGTTGGTTAAGTTCTCCAGCCGCTTCTCAGAAATCCTATACAGGGTTACTATGGGTCGGACTGACTCGATGGCACCTCAACAACAACATAGTAAGAAACATATTTTATATTGTGTCATATTTATATATATGCCAGGAATCCTGTGTGGTGCTGTAGGATAAGCACTGGACCACAAGGTCAGTTTAACCATAAAGTTGTTTGTTGTTGTTATGTGCGTGGAGTCAGTTCTGACTCGTAGCAATCCTGTACAGGGTTTCTGAGGATGTAAATCTTTATGGAAGCAGAAAGCCTCATCTTTCTCCTGTGAAACAGCTGGTAGTTTTGAACTGCTGACCGTGAGATTAGCAGGTAGGAGACAAACTCACCAGCTGCTCTTCGTAAACCCTATGCTGGGTCGCTATGAGTCAGACCTGAATCGATGGCACTTAACAACAACATATATGACAATATAAATACAAGTATAACTGAAACTAACTATGTAACATAGGGCTACTGCCTGCTTGATGCTTTCTGATATTTTCTATTCAGTTCTATTTCATTTCATTAAAAAAAACACAAAACAACAAAAAAAACGAATACTGATTATAAGTTAATTTTATGCACCACAAATGCAGAGCTAGCAGTTTGAAAAACAGTACTCTAGAAATAAGATTGTAATTCACTAACCTGCAAATATGAATCATTCGATGTTGAATCAGTTAAGTCCAAGGATTGCTTGTAGTCGATTGAATATTTGAACTGAGTTAAAATTACCTTTAATTTCTCCTCTCCTATTTAAATTATTTTCCTCTCCTACTTACTTTCAATATACAGTGTGTTTAGATTATTTGCAAGGTTGTTTTACTATTTTTTAGAGCTGTTTTTGCTTCAGAAGTTTTAGGTAAGTTATTGACAAGTATTAAAAAGTTGCTTTGAACTGAAAGTTTCTATGACCACCAAAGGTGAAGAGTGCTCTTTCTCGTCCTTCCATTTATTATCGTTTACATTTTTAAAAATTGAATGAGATATATGTTGAATATAAGGAAAAATGTTTTTTAGAGTAAATCGAACGTAACTTTTGGTATGATTGAATAGTTTAAATCTTTAGCATTTTCAGGTCTGTAATTTCTACTTGGCCCTCTTGATGTAAGCAGTCAGGAGAAAGCCTTTGAATGTCTCCTTTAAAGCTCTGTGGTTTGCTCCAGATGACTTCAGCCTTATTAGCTCTGACACATTTCTTAATTTAAATTTTTGCGTTCCCAGCTTTCTGTTTCTAATGAACTGAGAAGTAAAGGAGTGAACAAGCTAAAAGGAAGGATAACTGATAGTTGACCTTCTGGCGTAAAATAGTCGGTTGACCTCCTGACTCTACCAAAGGGAGTGGGTGGAAATTTTTTTTTAAAGATTACTATATATTTAAAAATGAGTGTTTATACTGATTTGTACAAGTTACTAAGAAAGGATCAAATTAATTTTGGTCTTCTCTTTTAAAGGTACTGAATTATGAGAAGCATTTTAGAAAGACTTCTATTGAAAAATATTTTTAAAGTTATTCCTTGAAAGGAATAAGCTTTTTTTTTATATATTTTTTCCTGAACAATATAATTTTGAGCAGACCTCATTCTCCCCTCAATGATAGATAAATAAGCTATTAGTATATTGTTTTATTGAAATTTTAGAATAATTTTTAAAATCAAGTTACTGTCTTTTATGTGCTCATAAGAAGGGAATTTAAAATAATTCACTTGTTTTATAATGTAGGGCTACTAGATGAATGTTACCTGGTTTAAAGTTTTTATTTCAACAATGCTTTAACTGTTTTTGAAACTCTTGTTTTAGACTTGCCTTCAGACTTTGTGAGCTCTTCCTTTGAGGTGAATTGACATTTAGAAATTGCGAAAAGCCGTATATTTGTAGAGCATATTTTATCTGATGGGCATAAAGTGTATGATCGCATTGGTTAAAATTATTTGGGACAGACATTTAGAGTTATGTTACAGCATTGAGACTCAGTTTATTGTATGGTTTTTAAGTTAATCTGAGGATTTTTCCAAAAGAATTGTTATAAAAAATACTTTACTAGTAACAGAATTATTGAAATAGGTATATAGTCCTTAAGCTGATTGTTTTAAAGGAATCATTCTCTTTTTGATAAAGAATATTAGAATATCAGTGTAAGTAGCAAATGCCTCATTTTATAATGATCGTATCTGGCATAGAAATAATTTACGTCTTCTCTTATTTTTCAGACTTATTGTTTGTAGTTTACCATTTAACCACTGTTTTTATGTTTAAATATAGTTGCTGTTTATAAAAAACAAGTAGTCAATGATTATGATAGCATTTAAAATAAGATTCTTATGCTCTTGATAAAATTATTTTCCCCTTGTCCTAGAAATGACTTTGGTAGATAGAGGTATCCGTTTGTTGTCTTTTAGAGACGCCTTTGCTTTCACTCTTTAAAAAATGTTTGAATTTTATTTGTTTATAGGCCTCGTTGTTGTTGTTGTTGTTATGTGCCGTGAAGTTGGTTCCGACTCATAGCAATAGGCCTCACAGTAATTAAAATTTTAGATAAAACAGAATTGTATGTATTTTTCTTTAATTAGGCTCAAGAGGACCAGGAAATCCTCTGGACCATCAAATTACCTACGAAAGAGGAGAAACAAACTATGACAAGTTACGTGGTCCTCACAGAGCGCCCTCTGACCCTGGATCTCTGTCCCCTCCATGGGAACAGGAACGTAGAATGATACCTCCACCAGGTTTGTAAAAGTGTATTTATATTTGAAAGGCAGCCAGTATGTGGACATACAGGAATCAACGAAAATAGTACAGGTGTACCTTGTCATAAGAAAACTATGATAAATGTTGATGCTTTGTGCTGTTGAATTGATTATGGCTTATAGTGACTCTATATGACATGTAGAGTTCTGGTGTGGCACTGTGGGCTAATGTGTCAGACTGCAGAGTCGCTTGAACTGCAAGGTTGGTGGTTCAAGCTCACCAGCTACTCCTTGGAAGCTGTATATGGGGTCACTGTGGGTTGGAATCGACTCAACGGCACTTAGCAACAACAACATATGATATATATTGTTTTTGTTATTGTTAAATACTATAAAATCTGTTCCAACTCATAGTGACTCTGTATAGGGTTTCTGAGTAGCTGCTGGTAGGTTTGAACTGCCGGCCATGTGGTTTGCAGAAAACAACAAAACACAAATTTCTAAATGAAATAATTAGGGGTAATTGTTCCCATACAAAAGGCTGTTTTTGCCCCCAAATGGATTGTTTTAAACATTCATTTAAAACTCTTAGCACATTCATTTAAAACTCTTAGCTGTGATAAATATAATGAGTAATAAACTGCAGCTCTCATCTCAAGAGACTGAGTTTATTGCAAAACTTTGAAGGAAGTCATGTATCTTTATCAGTATAGAGGGACTTTTCCTTAAAGAATTCACAAGTTATTAGTACCAGGAATCTCTGCCATAGTCTTTGCCTTTCTTCCCAAAATATGATCTAGTGTCTAAGGAACTTGGGAAAAAATATACAGATACTTGGATTCATCTTAGACAAGACCTTCTGAACATGAACTCTGGAGGTGAATTCTCTGTTTCTAATAAAAACTTCTTAGAAGACTCTGAAAATTAGCTAAATTTTAAAATCATCAATTTGATCAAAGCCCTCACTACATGGACAAGGAATTTGAGTTCCAAAGACATTTGTTGACATTCTTAAGATAAAACAGCTAAGTGAATAACTTAGAATGAAATCCAGATTCCCAGCTCCTAGACTAGTACTCTTTTTTCTATTATAAGTTCTTTCCATTATGAATTTATTGTGGTTCTTTCATAAAATTAGGAATTATTTTTTATTTTGTTTAAGAATTGCCTGAAATCCATAATATTCAGACCTTTCAATACTGTCTCTTACAATGCTTCAGTCTCTTCGTTTTGTTTCCAATTTGTTTTTTCTTTCCAATTTGTTTTTTGATTGAGCAATTTCTACTGATCTAAAATCAAGTATAAGGAGCTCTGGTAGCATAGTGGTTATGAATCGGCTGTGAACCTTAAGGTCAGCAGTTTGAAACTACCAGCTCCGTGGGAGAAAGATAAGGCTTTCTGTTCCTGTAAAGATTTACAGTCTTGGAAACCCTGTACAGGGTCGCTATGGGTAGGAACCGATTCAACAGCACTTAACAAAAACAACATAATCAAGTGTGGAGTCCTAATGTGCTGTAGGATCAGCACTGGATGGCTAATTGAAGTTTGGCTGTTCAGGCTCACCACTAGCTGCTTCTCAGAAACCCTATGCAGGATCGCTATGAGTTGGAACTGACTTGATGGCGCTTAATAACAAATAGCAGTATTCAGCTACATTGACTTTTCCCTGTGTCATCTCTAATCTGCTATTAAGCCCACCCAATAAATGTTTTACTTTAGCTATTTTATTTTTCAGTTTTAGAATTTCCATTTGGTTCTCTCTCTCTCTCTCTTTTTTTTTTTTTTAATAGTTTTATTTCTTTGCTGAGATTTCTTACCATTTTATTCTTCTGGAGAATTTTTAAAAACTCATTTTTAAGTGCTATTGAGTTAGTTCCAACTTATCAAGACCCTGTATAAAGTTTCTAAAGAACCATTTGGTGGGTTTGAAGTGCCCAACTTTGGTTAGTAAGTAGTCCAATGCTTATCCTACACTACCACACCAGGACTCCAATGTAATAATAGCTGTTGTAAATCCTATTTGATAATTCCAATATCTAGATTCTCTTGCAGTTGGCCTCTCTATTGATAATCTTTTTAACTGAGAATGGGACATTTTCCTATTTCTTGGTATATCAATTTTGCATTATATCATGGGTACTGTGTAGATTCTGAATTCTGTTATATTCCTCTGAAGAGTATTGTGGATTTTGTTTTAGAAGATAGCCTGGTAAGAGTCAAATGGTTAACTTTTTTCCTCTTGTCATGGGCAGCAGCTCAGATACCAGTTTTAGCCTTAGCGGAAAACTCTGTGATGCTGTAGGATAAGCACTGAACGATAATTGCAAGGTCGACAGTTCAAACCCACCGGCCCTTCCTTAGAAGCCCTATACAGGGTCATTATGAGTCAGAACTGTCTTGATGGCACTTAACAACAACAACTACAACAACTCTTTAAAGTTGCCTCATAAGTGGGTAGCTTCTCAGGGGTCAGCTATAGACTTGAGCAGAGTTTATTCACATTATTTTGGATTCACTTCTTTGGTTTTCTACTTTTGATGTTCTCCATTCTCACTGTTTTGACTCTGCCTTCTGGTTCTTTAGCCAGAAAGGTGGCTTTTATTCTGTCAGTGTTTTAGCTTTTCTGTGCTATACCTCAGTCGTAGTTTGCCATTAGGCTAAACAACAACAATAAGTAATTCACTCAGGGCTAGTCTTTTTTCCAAGTTTCTAGTCTTTTTCCAAATCTACCTGCTTTTCTTCATTCTTCATTTGTTCATGGTTCTGAGTTTTGAGGTAATTATTTTTTGTATATTGTTTAGAGTTTATAGTTATTATCTTGGAGTGTCAGTCTGTTAGGAGTTTATTCTGCCATACTAGAAGTGGAATCTGATATCCCTAATATTCAAAGGTCAAACAAGACTTAAAATTTGTGAAATTCTAAACTGAGAAGTCTTTATATCAGTTAGTTTATCTGTTCTCTAGAGAGTGTCTCCAAACTCTGTACTTGATCCATTTGGTTTGACACAGGGGTAACCTGTGCAATTATATATATAATTTCAATGGAGTAGACAAGAGTAATTTTGCAGACACAGCAGAGAAATGTTGGATACTATTCTAAACTTGGAGCCCTGGTGTAGCCCTGTGGGTTAATGTGCTGGACTGTAAGGTCGGCTTGAATTGCAAAGTCAACAGTTCAAGCTCACCAGCTGCTCCTCAGAAACCCTATGCAGGGTCACTATGAGTTGGAACCAAATCCATAACACTTAACAACAACAACAATTCAGAACTTTATGACTGATTGAATAGGGTTAAATGACTGCAGAGGCTCTAGCTTGAGTTGTTGTTATTAAGTACTGTCGAGTCGGTCTGGACTTATTGCAGTCGATACTATATAGAGTTTTCAAGGAGAGGTTGGTGGGTTTAACAGTCCAGTGCTTATCTAATATCGTCATACCAGGACTCTGCATTAACTCTTAGCCCACTGTAAAATTACAAAACTATTTTATATTTGCCTTTGATACATCTCCAACTCATTTAAATACTCACTGGACAGACTTTAGGGTGGTGTTGTTAAGTGTCACTGAGTGGGTTCTGACTAATAGCAATCCTGTATAGGGTTTCCAAGGAGTGGCTGGTGAGTTTGAAGTGCCAACCTTGCAGCTCAAACTGACCTTGCGGTCTCTAGTGCATTATCCTATAGCACCACACCAGGACTTTAGGTAGATTCATTTATTTTGCATTACATTTAGCTGATAGGTAAATTGGAGTCCTGGTGTGGCGCTGTGGGTTAATGTGCCAGACTGCAAAGCCATTTGAACTGCAAGGTCAGCAGCTCAAACTCACCAGCTGCTCCTCAGAAACCCTATACAGGGTCACTATAAGTTGGAATTGACTCCACAGCACTTAACAACAACAACAATTGGTAAATTAGAGCAAGGAATGCGGGGTCCTAAGTTTTTATATCTTAGTGTTTTGCACAGTGTTGAGCAAATCATTTTACCCGTCTTTGTTTTATTATCACCAAATGCAGGCTTCTATAAAACAGAGATGGTAATATTATTCTAAAGTAACTTCCCTCTCCTTACCCCTCTACATACACCATTTTTTAGTTTGAATTATTGGAACTCATGAAGTGTCCTGCTTAGCACTAATCCTTGTGTCTTTATAATTTTTCTTAAATTTTGAAATACAAATATTTGTGATGTTAAAAAATAATACAGTAACAAAATAAACTTCTAAAGAATAGCTGTATTCTGTAGTTCGAGGCTTACTTGTCATTTAGCCCTGTTTAGCATATGCTGTTGTTGAATTATTTTTGCCAACTCAAGTCAATAGAAATCTAAAAAAATTGAAGGCAGTCTTTGGGAAGACAAGCCATCCCTCTGCCTGCAGTATTTCCAATATACAGTAAACTTTGCTTGCTTTACCATTAAAAAAAAAATTCTGAAAAATTGCTGTCAGAGTAAGGAAAACATATATGCTTAATAGATGCCTGGTGTGGCACTGTAGGATAAGCACAAGACCACAAGGTTGGTTTGAACCACAAAGTTGGCTCTTTGAACTCACCAGCCACTCTTCAGAAACCCTAGACATGGTCACTATGAGTCGGAACCAATTCGATAGCACTTAACAGTGTATCAGATATACTGGAGACGGAGGGATGGCTTGTCCTCTAAAGATTGCCTTCAATTTTTAAAATTTCTGTTGACTTAAGATGCGATATTAGAAATGAGTTTAATTATCTGTAATTCTGTAATTTTTAATTACATGTTCTTACACTGTTAGAAATTTCGAAGAGGGAAAATTTACCAAAACTTTTGGGTCAAAATATTTTTAGAAATGAGAATATATTATATATGACTTAAGTAAACTTGTTTTTATTTTTGAAATATTAATGAAGATATTTTAAAAACTTGTTTTATAGGTCAGCCATATCCTGATCCATCACTTTACCAACAAAGGCAAGACATATTTTATTCCAACTCTGGTAGACTCGCTGGACCAGCAGAGCGCAGGCCTTCTTTGGACATACCAAGTAAGAAACAAGTTTTCTGTATGTGTGTTTTTAATATTGATAGCATACTTAGAGAACTGGAAGTTGAATAAAGAACTAATGAAATTGCTTTCTTGTAACTCTTAAGGCAAAATCTATTTCCTGAAAGCTTCCTGGTTTTATTTTTTTTTGTCATGTTGTGCATAGTTTATGAATATACTGTGATGATTGACCTGAACTTCATGATAATGTGTTTACTATGTATGAACCTAGATAGTAAGCTTTACTGTGTTCCAGGATTAATTTTCTATCTCTTTCAGTCCACCTGTTTAGTAGTCAGGGGAATTGCCAAGCAAATGAATGAATATATGCAAATTCATCAGAAAAATAATTTGGGAGCATACTTTGTTGATTATGTAATTGGTTACCTTGTTTAAACTGTATTGTTGTTGTTGTTAAGTACCGTGGAGTTGGTTCTGACTCACAGTGACCCTGCACAGGGTTTCTGAGGCTGTAAATCTTTACGGGAGCAGAAAGCCTTATCTTTCTCCCACAGAACAGCTGGTAGTTTCAAATTGGCTGAGCTTTAGGCACTCTTTTACTTCAGCCAACTCACAGCACCCCACTAGGAAACTGGTATCCAATGTATCAATCTAAGTGCTTAACATTAAGAAAATAAAAAGATAACCTCTACTCTTACTGTAGACTTGTCTGTTTCTTTCCTCAATTCTATTAGAGTTTAGTTTGTGGATTTTGATGCTCTTTATTTGGAAGCATATATATTTATCTTGGATATGTTCTCTTGTTCAGTTGACCCTTTAATCATGAGACAGTATCCTTCTTTGTTTCTTATGCTGGTTTTTGCTGTAAAGTTTTTTCATTGCCACCTGTGCTCGTTTTTGATTGCCATTAGCTTGATAATCAAGCTAAGTTTAATCTGTTTGTTTCTGTGTGTAAGCTGTGTCTCTTGTAGATAGAATATGGATGGATCCTGTTTTCTTATCCATTCTGGTATTATCCAACTCTTACTGGTGCATTTAATCCATTAACATTCAGCATAATTATCAGCAGGTATTAATTGAGTTCATTTATTATGCTATGCTGTGCTATTTTCTTCTTTTTGGTACTGCTGGTTTCTTAGTTTCACATGCTTTCCTTTGCTGAGTTCATTTTTTGTGTGTGCTTATTCTTTTCAATTTTTTCATTGGTTTAATGTTTGCAAAATCTTCATGTATTTTCCTTTTCTTAATTTGATGTTAAGGTATATTAAGCTTCTTTGAGGTTATACTGTAATTTATTAATTTCTTCCATATTTTCAGATAGTCTCTTTTATCTTTAAACATAATTGATCTCCTTGTCACCTAGAATAATCTTTAACTATACTTTTGCCTCCCTTTGCTTTGTAGTTTTCCTTATCATAGACTGACATCTCTGATTCCTTATTTTCAGTTCTGTGGTTTTTTGTAACTCTGGATACTTACATATCTGGATTGTATTCTTGGTGGTTTGCTTTTTATGTCAATCTCTGGTTGTTGTCCGCTGTTGTTGGTTCTCAGTCCAAAGGACTCCATTTAGATATTTTTTGTAAATTTGACTTGGTTTTTGCAAAGTCCTTTAATTTATGTTTATCTGGAACTGTTCCAACTTCACCCTCATATTTAAGGGAAAGCTTTGCTGTGTGTATGATTCTTGATTCTTGATTGGCAGCTTTTTTCGTTGACAATTTTGTATAAGTCTCCCTATCACCTTCTTTTTTTTTTTTTTTTTTTTTTTTTTTGAAAAAATTTATGTTTAGAAATTGCCAGCTGAACTAATTTTTGTTGTTGTTGTTGTTAAGTACTGTGGAGTCGGTTCTGACTTGTAGTGACCCTGCACAGGGTTTCCAAGGCTGCAGATCGTTACAGGAGCAGAAAGCCTCATCTTTCTCCTGCAGAACAGCTGATAGTTTCGAACTGCCGACCTAGAGGTTAGCAGTCCAATTTGTAATCACTACACTGCCAGAACTTCTTGAATTCATTTTAGGTGATCCCAATTTTGTTGGCAATACCCAAAGCATCATTTTGAGGAGTCAGTCAAATGTATGCCTTCTTATCTCCATCAGACCTGATCAGCTTGTTGACCTTGACTACATCACTGTCATAGAGCTTCTTCACAGCCTGTTTGATTTGGTGCTAGTTGGCTGTGACATCTATAGTGAACACAAGTGTGTTGTTATCATCAGTCTTCTTCATGACTAACTTCAGTAGTCAGAGGGAATTTCATGATTGCATAGTAGTCAAGCTTGTTTCTTCTGGGGACACTCTTAGGATATTTGGGCTGCCTTTGGGGCCTCAGTGTTGTGGGCTGCCGGAAGGTGGGTGACATGTGGATTTTTTTTTTTTTTTTTTCGGCTGTGGATGCCTTTCAACCTGGCCTTCAGTGTCTTTGCTTTGGCTTCAGTTTTGGGCAGGACAGGGGATTCCATCTTCACTTTGGGTTCCATCTTTGTAAAAACTCGCCATTGCCTTCTTGTCTGCCTGGTTTCTGCTGAGAAATCAGAGCTTAATCATACTGGTTTTCCTTTGTAGGTAACTTTTTGTTTTTCCTGAGGTGTTTTCAGGATTCTTACCTTGTCTTTGATTATGCAGAGTTTGATTATGATGTCTTAGTGATCTTCTTTTGAGGGGGCTATCCTATTTGTGTTCATTCAGCTTCTTGAATACTTATTGTCTCATCTTTAATGATGTTAGGAAATATTCTTCCAGAAGCTCTTTGACTATCTTTTCTATGCTTTCGTCTTTTCCTGTTCCTGGAATTCTGATCACCTGTAGATTATATTTCTCTTCATGTTGTCCCGCATGAATCTTAGGCTTTATTCAGGTATTTTCTGATTGCTCTTCCAGCTTACTAGACTTGAGGAATTTATCTTCAAGCTCAATAATTCAGGCTTCCATTGATTCATATCACTCCTTTGCCCTTTCAGTGTATTGTCCATTTCTGATACCTTAGTATTAGATTTCTGTTTGCAGGTTTTGTATTGTCTCCAATCCTTTATCTGTTTTGTTTTATTATTCCTGTAACACTTTTCTGAATTCATCCCTGTTTTCCTTGACCTTTCTGTCAATATCATGGAGGTACCCAAATATCATTTTCCCAAATTCTTTTTCAGGTAATTCAATGACTATTTTTCCTCAAAAACATTTTCTAGGTCTGCCTCTTGGTTGGTTGTTTGAACTACACTGCCTTGTTTCTTTATATGAACAGACATTTTCTGTTCCTTTTGAGGCATTGTGGTGGTGTTGTATTTGTATTGTTTTTTTTTTTTGTATCTTGGTATACTCTTAGACACTCACCAGCTGCCTCTTGTTGAGTGTGATCAAGAGATGAGCTTGTGTGTTGTTCTCTGTTATTTGTTCACTTCAGTTTTGGGTTGGATTTAGCTGATGGTGGTGGTTGTTGTTTATCTGGTACATAGAAGTTGGTATTGACTTTAGTCCAGTTGGTGGGGTTGTAGAGGACTGTGTCTGGGCTTTATGGCCATAGTTGCTGAGACAAGAAGAGAGAACACTTACACAAGTAGAAGAAAAACAAAACAAAAAACAGCAAACAACACCAGAAAATCAGTAATGAAGAAAGAAGAAAAACAAAAATTGGCTACTGCTTTTCTCTCCACCAGTAAGTGGAATGCCTCTGAACCACTTCCTAGCCTTTTTCTTTCACTGCCACCAGAGAACCTTTAAGATGGTCCCACTGTGCCTCACAGACCTGCACATGTAATCAGTTTTTTTTTCTCTCTTTTCTTCCCTTTTTTCCCCCCTTGTCTCTATTCCATTTGTCTGTGCAGCCACTTCTTCTAGTGAGAGTTAGCCCAGGGCTGGCCCGGGGGCCTACTTTGTAAATTATGAGGAGGGTCTACCTGAGCAGGTCTCCTGCATCTGCCTCCTCCCCTTTCAGTAGTGCTCACAACCTCCTGGTTTGAGGGTTCTGCCCACTGCAAAACGAGACCTTCCCTGGGGATGTATACTGTTGGAAGCAGTTCTTGCCTCTGGTCACCAGGGGAATGTGAGGAACCAGAGAGGAAAAGGAAACAAAAATAACAACTTTGTCTCTGTGAATCACAGGTAGCTTTCTGAAACCAAATTTATTTTATCTCTTAAGTTACTCACTCATGCTTAGGGTATTTGCAGTAGGTACCGTAGGACGCCACTAATCAGAAGTACCTTCTTTTCTTGCTACCTCTGCTCAACTCTCTTTCCCAGTAAGCACTCAGTCCACTTACTTATGCCTTTATCAGAAACTCAGAGTTCCAGGATCACCTGGTTTAATGTACCCTTGCTGCATTGGGCCTGCACAGCCTTTCTGCTTACTCCACTGTCTTGCTGTACCTCACTTCTACCTTGACTTCTCCACCTCCACCTCACTTCTACCTTGTCAAGTTGGCACGTTTTGTGAAATATCTTTTTATCTCATATTAAAATTGCAGCTTTAATATGGAAATACTGCATAATACATGTGATATACAAAATATGTGTTAATCTACTCTTTGTGTTATTAATAATTAGGCTTCCAGTCCACATATAACTCTGATTCCAGCTATTAGTAGTTTAAGTTCTAGGGGAATCAGAAGTTATATGCTTAATTTAAAAAGGTATTTTATGAAAAGTTCAAGCTTTTTTCACCTACTGGCATAACTACAGCTTCATGAATTTCCTTTTCTTTTGTAACAGTCATCTTTATGCTGGATTCATTTGTCTTTAAATGGCAGGCAACTCTGTTCAACCTTTTCCTGTAATGTCATGCTTTTTCTCTGCTTCTGGGGAGCACTTACAGCATCACTGGTGGCACCTCACATAGGTCTTACAGTGTTGTTTATAGTTTATTGTACTGCACTAAATATGTTGAAAAATAAGTGAGAACAATGAGAGATCACTTTTTACTGCAATACGCAATTTACTAGAGAGACAAATTATTCAAGTGGAGCTGATCAGCATCACACAGTGTTTTAAAAAGCATCTGTATATAAGTGGAGCTGCAGTAAGTCCCATGTTGTTCAAGGAGCTGCA